AGCCTGCGTGCTTCAGAGGCTGTCCGTAGGCAGGCTGGTCCACGAGCGTCGGTGAGGCAGCGGACCGCCCATTCCGAGAAAGGGCTCAGGAGTCCACTTAACTCTTCCTACGAGACTAATAATGTGACCTCGTCGTGATTAACAAAGACCCCCTCAATAGAGCGAAACTCGGCCCTGCACACAATAGTACAAGGCCCCCTCAACAGAGCGAAACTCGGCCCTGCACAGAATAATAGTGATGATTTAGCTCCCTGAATAGTGCTTAGTCCCCGTCCGGCCAGTATTATTTTTGAAAGTTTGGAAAACAGACACGGCTACTACAAACTGACGCCCAAAGCGTTTTCCACGGCTGCGAAATCTATAGGTTTTCAAAAAAACCCTTTAAAAATATTCTTCGATCAACTTGAAAGCCTCCGACCCCAGAATAGTTGGATGAGAAGCCCCTCACTATTCCTAAAGCCCGCCGGTGGCCTCCAGAACCGCAAAGCAGAATCCCGTTCTGTAGTCGAAGGCAGGAGGCCTCTGTATAGAAGTTTTATCACTGAAGCCTTCAGGAATACAAGCTAAAGCTCCAAACTCTGGTTTTTTACGGCTGCCAGATCTATCAGTTTCCAACATAAACCCCTTATTAAAAACTTCTCCATCAAGTTCTAGGGGTACTATATGAAAGCTTCCGGCCTCAGAATTGTTCGTATGAAAAGCCCCCACAATAGCGCTAAGATCCCTTTCTGCATTCGACGGCAGGAGGCGTCCATGTAGAAGCCTTATCCCTGAAACCTTCAGGAATACAAGCCAAAGCTACCACGACCACCAATACCACTACCACTACCAGTATCACTACCACTACCACTACCCCGACCCTACTGCTACCACTACCACCACCACTACTACTACTGCTGCTGCTGCTGCTGCTGCTGCTACGGCTACTGCTATTGCTACGGCTACGGCTACGGCTACTGCTACGACAACGACGACGACGACTACTACTACTACGACGACGACTACTACTGTGATACTAGCTACTAAGCCCCGGCCCCCAACCAAGTCCACATCCGCAGGCCGAGAAACAATTCCAAACTATTCCGGATTCCAGGTTGTTTCGGGGGGGTTATTAGTCAAAAAGTCACATTTGTTTCTCTGGACCTTTTGACGCCCGCGTGGTAGGAGAGGTCCTCGGGCAGCTCACGGCCCACCGGCGGCGCGTCAGCGAAGCGGCAGCCGACTGGGTGCGCTCGCACTCGCGAGGTTCAGCACGTCGCCCAACGGGAGAGCGTCCTGGGCGCCCGGCAGCGGCGGCATGGACCACACCCCGAGCGCCGAGCATGCAGGCGACAGCGCGTTGCAGGGCGACGGACAAAACGCTCCACCAACGGCGGGCCCAGCCCTGTGCCGCGGACGCGCGCAAAGGGGGTGGGGCGCGCTGGACGCGAAGCCGGAGCAGGATGCGAAGGAACTGCTGGCACTGGTCGCTCCAGCGGCCCCCGACCTCAGCGGCGAGCCGCGCGTGAGTTCCAAGTAGCGCGCGACTTTGCGCCGGCGGGCCGCGTCTAGGGCGACCCCCGCGCGCGCGCGCGTCAGCCCCATGCACTGGGCGGCCTGCGCGAGTGAGGGGGGACACGAGTCGCATCGCAACACAAAGCCTCCCCAGTGGTCGTCGCCCCGTAGACGACGAAGTCGAGACGTCGGTCCTGACTTGCGGCGCCGTAGTGTGTGTGAGCCACTGTTGTGGTACGACACGACCCTCCGAAGGAGTCGAGCAGGGTGACCCTCTAGCGCCGGGTCTCTACGCGCTGGGACAGCACGACTCGCTGGTCGCCGCCAGCGCATCGTTGCACGCAGGCGAGTACCTCGCGGCGTTCTTGGATGACCTTTACGTCGTGACAGTCTCGCGCTGTCAGGGGCGAGGTCGAGCGAGGTGCCGGCGTCGAAGCGAACCTGGGCAAGACACGAGTCTACAACGCAGCAGGTGGGGACGCACCACTCGGCATAGCCGCCCTCGGCCCGGACGTTTGGTGCGGCGACCTGCCCCCTGCTCGGCGCGGATTCGTTGCTCTCGGCGTGCCCATCGGTCATCCCGACTTCCTCGGCGCTCACGCCGCTGGCCGCCTCGAGGCTGAGGCCGACCTGCTCCATTGCAGAATCTGCAGCGCTTGCCCGATTTACAGAGCGCTTGGCTTCTGTTGGCCTACTGCGCAGCGCCTCGGGCGCAACACCTGCTTCGCAACGTCCACCCGGCGGATATACTGCCTTACGCCCGCGCCCACGACGCGGCAATCTGCAATGTTGTCGAAGGCTTGCTTGGCGGCCCGTGCGGTCGCTTTCTTGCCGCTATTCAGGGGGCTCGGCCTGCTTTCAGCCGAGCGGGTGTCGTCTGCAGCCTACTGGGCCGCGTGGGCGGACGCGCTGCCGGTCCTCCGCGCACGCTACCCCGAAGTCGCTGACGGGTTTGTGCATGAGCTCGAGGGCGAGCCGGCGCGCAGCCGGCGCGGCCTTGCTTGCGAGCAGCAGCACTTGCCGCGCACCGGCTCGCTGAAGCAGGCTGGGAAGCTCGACCGGATTGGGACGCTTGTGCCCGTGGCGCAGGCAGTCCGGCCGTCGACGGAGAACTCGGGCTCGGGAGCCCCGGTTGGCAGCGACACGCCGTTCTCGCACTCCACACTTCCTTTCGAGAACGCGTGTTGCTACCAACCTTGTGACTCCGGCCGCTCGAGCCCTTCTTCACAGTCGGGCCCGCATGCGGGGATGTGGCTGGCGGCGATCCCTTCGGATGCTGCCTCCACCCTCCCGCCCGACCTCATGCACGTAGCACTGCGGCGCCGGCTCCGGCTACCCTTGCCCTTGACGGGGCGGCGCTGCGGCGCTCAAGGTCGGCACGGCTGCGGAGCTGAGGTCGACGCCTACGGCGACCAGCCCGCAGGCTTGTTGCCACGGCGTGGCTTCGTAGTCGAGCGCGCGTGGGTCCAGGTCGCTCGCGAAGCGGTTGGTCCGGCTTGCGCGATCTCGTGCCGTCGTCCGGCGTCGTCCCACCAGAGGTAGGTGGACGTACGCGTGTACATGGCTCGCGCAAAGGGCAGCAGCGACGGGACAGCATCTCGGAGCTTGGCGAGGATGGTCGCGCGGCTGACGGTATCGTAGGCGCTGCAGCCATCTAGTGAGACGGCGGTGGCCCGAGGGTCGGAATCGACGGCTGCTCGTAGCATCGCAGCTAGGCTGTCAGTGCCAGTACGAGTCTGCAGCGCGAACTGGAACGACATGGTATGACCTGGTGGCCGCCTCAAACGCTCCGCTGAATTCCCGCGCAAGAGCTCCGGAGATGAGGCGCCGGAAATCGCCGGAACACATCTCATATGTGGCAATGCCCCGAACCCCGCCACTAGGTTTCCAAAGCGACTTGGGGAGCCTGGGCGCGGGCGGCGACATTGACTGCGAAAGTGAAAGCCTCGCGAGTGCCTCGAGCAGCTTGTACAGCTCGACTGACGCGCCGGACAAGCCCGCCGCCGAGCCGCGCTTATAGAGGTGCGCAACGCCTCGCCGACTTGGCGTGTCAACAACACGACCTCCGCGGGCGGCCGGAACTGGGTAACGTCGGAGCCGACCGTGCGCAGCGGCTGCGCCGGACGACGCTGTGGATCTGTCAGCGCATGGAGCGTGTCGGCGTCACCGGGGGCAAGGGCGGCGGCTGTGAGCGTCGGGCGCGCTCGCGAAAGTTCGCCACGCTTGACTCGGGCACAAGCCGCGGCCAAGAGACTGGGCGCACAGTGTGTCGAAGCGGCCTTGCGAAAAGAGCTCACAAGCCGGCGGAGGAGAGCAGCCCGGCCCTCGGGTCCAGACTGTGTGGAGCGCGCGAGGAGCAAGCGTGGCAGCAACAGGAACAGTTTCCAAGCCCGAACCCGCCTCCCCTCATATATCCCGGCTCCCCTGCGCAACACGGATCGCGTCGAGTGTAGCAACGAGCGCTTTGCGGACACCTGCGACGACGAAGCGAGGCACGGTGTGGAGGGTTGGGACAGGCCGGCGAAACTCTGCAGAAAGGTAGACGTCATCGAGCCATCTCCCAGCATCTTGTGTCAGCGGGACAGAGGGACCAACAGGGCCGGCAGCCGGGGCAGCTGTCATCGCCCTCAGCCCCATCGCTGGCAAAATTCACGCTCTCCGCTTCGGACGCGAGCTGTCCCCGGTACCAGCGTCTCGGGCGCCGCGGCGTCTTCGCCGCCCGCGTCGGCGCGCAGTGGTGGCGGCGGGATCGGCCGCCGCCGGTGCGAGGGGGCTGCGCGGTCGGGGACGGAAGCGGTCGGAGTGGACATTATACCTGCTACCGCCGCGGTGCACGCCGGCATCGTTGTCCCGCTTCCCCGTAGCCTGGCTAAGGCGGCTACGGTAGCTTTGTATCGGTTCAGGCACTCTGCATTTCCCAAGTATTCCGTATATAAAAAACATCCAGTAAGGTCTAAAAACCAAATAGGTGCTGCTACTACTATACACGCCGATGTACTTGCTCTAGTGGCGGCGCAGGCCGGTACCTATTTCCCCACTTCCCCGTATCCTGTCTTCGGTTTGGATACTCCCTATTTCCAAGTAGTCAAGAAATAGCCGGCAATAGCCGGCATGCAGGAAGGTCCTGAAAGGAGCAAAGTATGTACCGGGTTGGGGGGTCCACTCCACTCTTCCTGCTATACAAACTAGTAACTGCTACGGCGGGGGTGCGGGCCGGTACTCCGACACGACTAATCTGCAGGCCGAGAAACAATTCCAAACTATTCCGGATTCCAGGTTGTTTGGGGGGGTTATTAATCAAAAAGTCACATTATACCTGCTACCGCCGCGGTGCACGCCGGGCCAAAGCGGCTAAGGTAGCCTTGTATCGGTTCAGGCACTCTGCATTTCCCAGGTATTCCGTATATAAAAAGCATCCAGTAAGGTCAAAAAGCCAAGTAGGTGCTGCTACTATTATACACGCCGATGTAATTGCTCTAGCGGCGGCGCAGTCCGGTACCTATTCCCCCACTTCCCCGTATCCTGTCTTCGGTTCGGACACTCCTTATTTCCCAAGTAGTCAAGAAATAGCCGGCAATAGCCAGCATGCAGTAAGGTCCTGAAAGGAGCAAAATATGTACCGGGTTGGGGGGTTCACTCCACTCTTCCTGCTATACAAACTACTAACTGCTGCGGCGGGGGTGCGGGCCGGTACTCCGACGCGACTAAGCTCTTGCATTCCGCGTTTTTGATGTTTCCCGCATCTGCACACATGCAACGAGTAGGGGGCCCTGCAAAATCGTTGCGTTTGCCGTTCCTGAAGGCACACCTCCCGCACACCATCCCCTCCAGTGGGAAAAACAACTCATCTGACACCCTGCGTGCTGCTGTTCGTCTTTGCAACATTCTGCAAGTGCACACCCCCGGGTCAAGAACGGACCCGAGATGCATATATATATATATATGCATATATGCATAGATACTTAGTCTTGCTATTCTACTGTGTCCTAGCCTCCCGTGCGCTCCCAAACCCGCACATCGAGAATAGATCTTCCCAGGGGCTCTTGCAGGGCCTCCCGTGCACTCCCAAACCTGCGCGCCGACCATAGATCTTTTAAGCGGCTCGCGCAAAAGCCCCAAATCCACGTACCGAGCGTAGATCTTCAAGGGCCTCCCGTGCACTCCCAAAATTGCGCGCCGAGCATACATCTTCCAGGGCTTCCTGTGCACTCCCAAACCTGCGCGGTGAGCATAACTCTTCCAGGGGCTCCCGCAAAAACCCCAAACCCACGTACCGAGCGTAGATCTTCAAAGGCCTCCCGCGCACTCCCACACCGCGCGCCCAGATGCGCCGAGCATAGATCTCCCGAAGAATCCCGCAGAAACCCCAAACCCACGTACCGAGCGTAGATCTTCAAGGGCCTCCCGTGCACTCCCAAACCGGCACGCCAAGCGTAAATCTGTTATGCGGCTCCCGCAAGAGCCCCAAATCCACGCGCCGAGCGTAGATCTTCAAGGGCCGCTTTCTGGTTGGAGCGCACGAAAGTGCGGTGTGCACAGGTGGCGCCGGCCTCTGCTCTTTCAGGCCAGGCCTTAAGCCAAGCTTGTCGGACACAGGAACGCCGGCCGTGTGCGGCACAAGCCGTGCGCGGCTGCTTCCGTCAGGCGGCTGGTGCTTCCCGGCAGTCGCGGCCTGGAGTTTCTTGCATGGGCCTTAGCTTCCTGCGCACCCCGCTTGTCGCACAGTTCAGTGCACTCGTTTGCTCGCCGGCCGCTGGCGCTCACCGTGGCAGCCGCGGCCGGTGAGCAGAATCGGGCATGTCCTGGATCGACGGCCTCGGCCTCAGCCCACTGCATGGTTGGAGCACCCAAAAGTGCAGCCCCTGCATCGCCGACACCGTTGTGCGCAGGGGGCGTCAACCCTCAGCCCAGACCGGGCGCATGGGGGCGAGCAGCGGGCACGTCGGGTGCTCTGGCGAGTGGGCGGGGTTGCCGTCCGCAGGCGCAGCACAAGTCCGGTGTGGGCCGTGGCATCGAACTCCCAGCTCCGTAGCCGGCGGCAGTCGGGACACAAGGTGTTCCAGCATGGGCGGGTACCTTGGCTTCTTCCCAGTCAAGCACTCGCGAGCACCGCGGACAGGCCCACGACAGTCGCCAAGCCAGGATGCCGGCGTCACCGCGGACGGCGATGGGCGACCACTGCATGTTCCGGTGAGCGAGCTCGACGAAATTGACGTCCCCGCCCTCGCCCCGCACAGCTGCACGCGGGTGCGGGTTCGGGCGCGTCGTTGGAAGTGAAAGTACGTATGGTGTAGTCGGCGACGCCCTGACGCACGGTGGAGGCGGCGGGCAGCCACGTCGGCGCCTCGATTCCACGCGCCGCACAGGCCGCACGCAACCATTTGTCATGGGCCTCGGTCCAGCCGTCTGCAGCGCAAACTGGGCACCGCATGCCATCCGGCGTGTCGGATTGGCGCCAGGCACGCGAACACGTCGGGTGGAGGACAGCGGAGGCCTCGGCAGTGGCTGAAGCGTGGATGGGATCAGGGCAGATCCGACACACGTCCGCAGGTGGTGTGTCGAGGGAGAGGTCGGACTCCTGTGGAGTGTGTGGGGGCGTGTCGTCCATTACCGTGACTGCTGCCGAGGTCAGCGCGCTGCCACCAGGCGGAGCGTGGGCATGGGGGCTGCGGCGTGCGGGCAGAGAAGCATCACGTTGAACGTCTGGACATGCCGGTGTGCAACTGCTGCTTGGGAGACAGCTTTGTAGGCTCTTAGGGCACGCAGCCGGCGGACGCTCAGAACGTGTGGAAAGCGAAGCCCGGAATCCTGCACAGAAAGCACTATACAGGGGAGAGGCGCACTCCCAGCAGGCCGCTGCGAGGCGCGCAGTTGCCAGCGTTCCTGTGTCAGACCAGGGTAGCTGAGGGTCCACCAGCATAAGCGATCTCGCACCCGCACATGGATCGCGGCACGACCTTGGCCCGCATGGAGGGGGCCCGGACTCTGCCACCAACTCCTGGATGTTTGTCCCGCTCCTGCACGCTGCGTGCGGCACCTTGTCTTCGCAGGCCGCCGAAGCACGACGAGCGCTGTCAGCCATGGTGGCACGAGGCGTGCCACGCGCTCCGTCACTCAGCGGCGGTCCCAGCCGCCCTGCTCTTGGATGCCCTTCAGGAGGCGGCAGCCCGGCAGCATTCCCTGCGCCCCCAAACCATTTTCGCCGCTGCTCGGGCCTTGCCCTCGGGAAGCGAGCTGCATCTGAGTTAGGTCGTTCGGCAGATCGCCGCTGCCGACGGCTACGTTGACGCAGGAGCGCAGGAAGTCTGTCTGCAGCTCTATGGGGGGCTCGGCTTTGCCGCGAACCTCGACGGTACCTATTTCTATCCCCCCTTTTCCCCTCTTCTGGAAATGGTACCGGAAATAAGTCGCACGACTCGCACGGTGAATATACCGCCCTTAGCCAGTACCTTTACGAGGAGGTCCCCATGTCCGAGCATCGCGCTCCGACACACCGGACCGGGAGGGGCGGGCCCCTCGAAGGCTTATGACGAAGTAAGATACAAAGTGACAACCGGAAAACAGGGAGGCGCGGTGGGGGCACTCGAGAGCTTGTGGAGCCGGGGTCGGCGCAGTGGCGCTGGGGAAGGCTGAGCCGGCTGATGATGTTATCGTGGAGGAGGGCTGAAGCTTCGAGCGCGTCACGACTGACAACATGGCGGCCTGAAAAAAACTTCTGTATCACTTGCTGTATCTGAAGCCCGACCCGTTGCCATCCAAACCCAACATAAAAAAACACTGCTCTCCGAGTCCACAGGCTTTACTTGCTGAGAGAGTGCGAGGGACGGGCACAGAGACTGTGAGTGTGTGTGAGTGAGTGTGCGAAGGAGCTTAATTGAAATAGAAAGTGACAGTGTGATGCCAGGTCAACACGTTTGGGGCATGCAGCTACTGCCTTGTGCGTGTCTGGCAGAGCATGTCGCTCAAGGTGCTCAGGAGTCGTAGGCTTGGTGATCCTTTAAAGGTTCCAGTTGCCAGGTGCTCCATAGACCTTTTCACGTTCTTCATAGTGTCATCTTTCTTTCAAAAGAGTTGTCATGTCTTCAGACTTCTCAGATTTCGTCGTGTGCGCTGTGGTAAAACGGTGCGTTGAGGGCAGTTTGCGAGAGCAGCCTGCCTTAAAGGCAGGTTATGAGCCCAAGTGGCCCGTAGCACTGCGTCTCCGCTATGGATTCCGATCTTGATAGAAGAGAGGAGGTAAGACCTGTTGGAGCGGGGGGTCAAGGACTCCAGGCCTCAGCAGGCGAACCGGAGAGACGTTTTTTCCAGGAGGCTGCGGAAATCATCCAGGGAGTTGATGGTCCGCAGGAGAGACAGAGGACACCAGAGGAGGAAGCACGTGATGTGCTTGAGCAAGCAGACGGTTTAGAACCCGAATACGAGTTTGAGTCTGTGGAAGGAGTTGTTTCGCCCGAGGGTGGAGCTCATGATGGTCATGATGACAGTGTGGTTGCTCATCAGCAGGAGAGAGGAGAGAGGCAGGGTTTTGCTGATAATCCTCGTCTGACTGCTGGGGCTGTACCCGGTGAGGAGCGGTTGAGTGGAGCCGTACCTGGACAGATGAGCGATCAGTTTCAGATGCCATTGATTTATGGTGAAGGGGTTCAACAGCGAGCCTGGGGAGAGAGGCAAGGTTTTGCTGATAATCCTCTTCGTCATGCTGGGGCTGCACCCGGTGAAGCGCAACTCAATGGAACTCTGCCTGGGGCAACTGCTGAACCGTCCTATCGTCCTGAGGTTTTCGGGGCTTTGCACCGTGGGAGGCTCTTGCCATCTGAGGGTGAGCAACTGCATGGACGCGTAGGCGTTGATGCTGGCCTGGGTGAAAACGTCATAGCTGGAGATCGCACGTTGATGCTTGAACAGCTGGTCTATCAGTTGATGGATCAGAATGAGGCCCTGAGGAGAGAAGTTGGGGATACAGCATCAAGGAGCTCAGCTGAGTGGGACCGGCATGTTGGGGAAGGGCTGCGGAACGTTGCCTTCGAAGAAGTGTCTAGGCACAGTAGAGAGTCAGGAGTAGATTGGTCGACTCTGGAACAGAGGAGATCACTAGCGACTGAAGGAAGGGGCTATGGAGCACTCGGGGGTAGACCTAAACTAGGTAAAGGTACAGGTGGTCAGGGTTCAAAGGATCATCATGCTGAACACTCTAGAGTCTTCAGGCCTCCTTGGACAACCTTTCAGCCTTCGCAGGATGTTGTGATGTCCTCAATTGCTCCAGGCGATGGTCCAGGCGATAGACTGCTTCAGGCAACAAGGGCACTTCAGGCATTCACTGTGGAATCGGATGATGTCGAATGGGTTGGGCGCAGCCATCCGTCATGGCAGGACGTTGAGGGCCGTGTGCAAGGGAGCCTTCCAATGGATGTGGATCCTCCCTCAAACCTTAACCCTAAGAACCCTAATCATGATGTGCATCCTACCATCACAGCGAGAACCGTGCAAGACCCTTACCCTAGGAACCCTAATCCTGATGTGCATCCTACCGTCACAGCCGGAGCCGTGCAAGACCCTTGCCCTAAGGACCCTAATCCTTCTAGGTCGGCTGCAGTTCCTGAGGGTGCGGGACCAGAGTTGGATAACATTCAGGGGTTGATACGAAAGAAGGTTCAGGTTTGGATAAATGGGGTGCTTAGAGAGGGTGTCTATGACCAGTCAGGTTCGGTAGTCCTCACTCCCGAGGTGCCTAAGTTCTACAGCATGGAAGATGTAGGTCAAGGTACAGAGGAGCAGCATGTTCCAAAGCCTCCGTATGGTCCTCCACCAGATAGTCCAGACAGGGGTAGGGAAGCTAGGGGTCCTTGGAGTAGTCAAGCGAAGTCACCTTTTAGGGCAATAGCTGATAGTCCTCCCCCGCCTCCGCCTGCACAGACTAGTCGTAACGCAAATCATTCGCCTTATGGTCGTCTTAGGCAGGCCCGAAGCCCAAGTCGTTCTCCTGGAGGATACCCGTGTCGATTCAAGAGCAATCGGACTTTGCAGGGGTCTCCTGCTACTCCAGGCGGAAGGCGAGTGCCGAAACGAGCACCGCCAGTGACTCCACCAGTAGCTGGGTGTGTTCCAGAGCATAGCCTCTCAAGCATTTCTATTGTACCAGAGCCGCAGAATGCTTCACAGGGTGGGATGGGTGTTAATCTCAAGGATTTTATTCCTGGAGAGAGAACTCTTTGGGAGTTGCCTAAGTTGGGCCCCGTTGGAGAAGCGTGTCCCGCAATGAGGTGTAATGATTGGCTTCATAAGATTAAGTCTTCGATGACCGACTTAGCCCCTAAGGCTCATGAATGGTGGAGGCGCGTGACAGACGAAGCCAGGGCCGAGTATGATAAGTGGTGTCAAGCTGCGCCAATTCAGCATGCCAAGGTCACAGGCAAGCCGAGTGCTGAGCTGATGGGTGATATGTTTGTCCGGCTTGAAGCTAGAGGATTGGCTATGCTCATCAAGGCACTTCCGGACACTATCTACAATACTGCATTGGCTCACCGGAACACTACGTGCACAGGTCTTCTATTCATCACTATGAAGACGTATCAGCCAGGGGGCCTGGTAGAGCGGGGTGAGCTGTTGAAGGGGCTAACCACCTTGGAAGTGTGTAATGAGGCGAGTTCTGCAGTTGCCACTTTGCAGAAGTGGTATCGGCACTTGGATCGCGCCAAGACCATGGGAATCTCGATTCCAGATAGTTCATTGTTGCTTCAGGGAGTGGATAAGTGTGTGCAGGGTCTCTTGCAGTCACATGCTTCGCTGCTGTTTCGGATGCATACGGTTCGGATGCAGCTGCAGCTTGATACGGTGCCCATACATCAGGCTGTAGAGGGGTGTGTCACTACCCTCCTTGCGGAATTTGAACTCCTCGCCATTGCTATGCCCGATACTTCAACGAAGCGTCCCAGGGTTGCTGCGTTGGATAACAAGGGTAAGGGTGGCTCTAAGTCAGATGGCCAGAAACCTTCAGAGACAAGGGGCACCCCTGAAAAGCCCGAGCCGAAGACCAAGCTTAAGAATCCCTGTAGGGCGTGGATTACAGATGCAGGTCGTAAGTATGGAAAGACCTGCACCTTTGCCCACACCGTCGAAAGACCAGGTAAGTGTTGGACATGTGGAGGTGCAAACACAAAGGCTGACTGCGTTGCTCCAGGAGGTGGTAGTGCGCAGAAAACGCAGCCTTCAGACGGTCCGAAGGGCAAGGGAAATCAGCAGGGTGGTTCAGAGGCTAAAGGTGCTGCAAGTAAGGGTGGAGCTGGTTCTGGAAAGGCACCTTCGGCAAAGGGCCCTAGTGGAACTCAGAAGGGTTCAGGAGGCTTGTCTGAGGAAGCTATAAAGGAGGCAGCTCAGCTGTTGCAGAGTCTGCGGTTGGCTTCGCTGTCGGTGCATGTTGATCCATTGGTCAGGGTTCTTTGCCGTGTTCAGAAGGGCGAACGCAAGGGACTGATAGACGGAGGCGCAACTACGTGTCTTCGTGGTGCTCGTGATGATGAGCTCCATTTGCCAGAGATTCAGGTCAAGTTGGCATACGGACAGTGTGCCCTTCTAGTGAATAAGGCGGGAGTGCTTCTTAGCAGGGATTATGTATCGCCGATTGTTTCAGTAAAGGCTGTGTTGGCTCTAGGCTACAAGCTCGAATGGAACAATGCAACGTGTAGGATCTGGCATTCTTCTGAGGGCGAGCTCCCTGTGGACGTTCAGTCGGGGTGTCCAGAAATACCTGAAGAACGCGCTTTAGCTCTGATCGATCGTTATGAGCAACTTGTGCTTAAGTCAGAAGGGCGCAATGCTCGCATGTGCTGTCTGATGAAAGACATGGCTGGCTTGAGCACCGCTGAACTGGCGAAGATGATTGTCCGTAGGGATGTGCATGCGGATGCTGCCTTGAAAACTTTTGTTGAGGGTCTTTTTACGGAAGCCCCGGCGGACCTGATCGACCAGTCGGTTGCATCAGTTCAGGATCAGGTGGGTGAGACATTCACCTGGAACAGGAGGATGAGGAGAAAATTTGAGAGATCGGATGGACTTGTGCTCCATCTCTTCAGTGGGGAAGGGAGAAGGGTCTTCGATCAAGTAGCTGAAAAAGCATGGATTGGCTCATGTGCCAGTAGACACAGGAGAAGACCTCCTTGCTGATGGTACGTACCAGTTTCTGCTCCGACAGGCAGCCAGGGGACGGATTAAAGCCCTGGTTGGAGCTCCTCCAAGCAGAACGTTCGCGCCCTGCAGGTATGCTGTGAATCAGTGTGAAGGTGGGGTACGGCCTATTAGGATTAGGGGAGAAAGTCTTGGGGATTACGGTATAGATGGGTTGACCTGTCAAGTGCTGGCGCAGCGTAGGGTTGATGATGTGTTGATCGTGAGGATGCTGGTTCTGATGCTAGTTGCCCAGCCGTCAAACGGCGTGTTGACCGGAACTTCACTTGAGTGTGCAATTGAACATCCTCAGGATCCAGAAGAAGGGGGGTGCTGGGTTTGAAGTTGAACGAGCAAGTGAAGCCTGACAAGGGTTATGCATCTCTGTGGGCGACCCCTGAGTGGGGCTTCCTGACTAGACCTCGAGGTCCGAATCAGGCCAAAACATGGTCGCAGTGGGCTCCAGGGCTCTGGTTGGCTGTTTCAAACATGTTGGGGAGGACTCTGAGGGGAGGAAAACCTCTGAAGGAGTTTGGTGTTCGTTCGATTGATTCGGCCTTTATTGAACATCTGAAGAATAACACGTCCCATATCGTCGTGATTGCAAACATTGCATCCAGGGAGGAGCGCGCCACAAGCAACACCGTAAGATCCTTGCGCCGCAGGGATGGACACTTAGCGTGGACACTGCAGGCCCTTTTCCAAAGGGGTTGGATGAGAACTCCTCCAAGGCAAAATATCTCATCGTTGGTGTTCTGTCAGTGCCGATCTTGTCGGCCCAGGGCGAGAGCGTTGAGGCACCAGCTGACAGGGATCCTCGTGTGACATTGCAGGAATTTGCAGCTTCGCTTGATGACAGGGAGTGGCTGGTTGAAAGGGGTATGGAGCTTGAGGAAGCTCTTGGCGAACCAACCAACAAAGAGATTGCTGAGACTAGGGGATGCTTGGAATGCGGTGGTTAAGAAGAGTCGCGCTGAGTGGTTGGAGGAAGCAAAGGTCCACTACCTCCCCAAGGTTGAAATGGTTGACTTTGTGTACACTGAAGCGGTGGGAGTCTAAGAGGCAACATGTTGTTGTCGGGGCAATCAGCCGTATGTATGCCAAGGCTATTTCAGATGGGTTGGACGTGCGGCGGGTGCATACGGATCGTGGCAAGGAGTTTAATAACTCTGCCTTGAAGGCTCTGTGTGCCAAGTTTGGGCTGCATCAGACATTCGCAGTTGCCGAAGAACATCAGACGAATGGCAGGGCTGAAGGTGCTATCTTGAGGATAAAGAATCGTACGCGAGCTATCCTTCAAGCAGCTGGTGTTGATGATTTGAGTGAATGGCCACTTGCAGCCAAGCTCGCTGTGTATCATCTCCAGGCAGAAGCCCGAAAAAAGTTGAAGATGTCATCGGAGCCCACCTTGCCCTATAACACCGAAGTCCAAATACTTCAACGCTCTTGGCGTTGCAATGTTTGGGGTTCCCGCACCTCTTCTGCATACACCAAATGTCCATCCAGTGACACTTCCAGGGGGTGGGTTGTAAGGACCGCCGACGGCCACCTCCTCACTACTAACAAGCTATTTCCTGCGGTCGATGGAGGTAACATAAAGTTCGTGTATACGGGACCTCCGGTTGATCTTGCTGCTCCATCGGTTCGGCTAAAGGAGAAGTCAAAAGTTAGGAGATTTGAATCCGGAGGGATTGTTCGCGAGCCAAAGCACCCAGCAGATGTTCTGGCAAAGAAGTTGTACGAGGCAGAGCATTG